ACTCGACACCATAACGAACCAAATAGCGAAAAAAGTAGAACAATAGCTCTTAAGATAAAGAACTAGTAGCGTCGCAAAACGAGCGGACGGACGGACGGACAGCCGGACGGACGGACGGACGGACGGACGGACAAAGTGGCCACAATAGCGCATTTTATTTTTATTTTTGTGGAAATGCGCTAAAAAGTCACTGGTCAAAAGACCTAATAGTGAGCAGGTGGCACTCTTCAACAATAGCCAGGTTAAAATTTGGACACCCATTTGGACCCAGCTCACCTGTTCAGACTAAAACTGGTAGACTCGCCAAATTGTACATGTGGGGAGTACATATGCGATTTAAACCATATTTTTTTTAGTTGCGGAAATCACATAGCAGCAACCCAAAAATTAATTACAAACTTAATTAAACACAATGTCCATTTACCTACTAATACATATTGCGTCCATACTGTCTTTCAATCACAAGGACATATACGATATTTTGATTCAATATCTACTAGACACCAAAATTACCATTTGAATAATTGTCGCTACATTAATAATTATAAACCTTTGTTGTGTTCTGTCCCTCCAGTTGCTCTCCTTAAACCGTGGTCAACCCTTGTGTATTGTAAGTAAAGTCTTCATGAACGACCGCATGAAGTGAAGCGTGTCAACCTGTGTGTACACCGTTAGTAGGTAAATATCCTCACTTGCCGGCCGCATGGGCATAGATCCCGTTAGGGCTGTAAAAAAAAAGAAAGCTGATATTGCGCAACCTGCGCATACGTACATTAATCGTCAAGATTTTTATTGGCTCAGATGCCAGACTTCCAGAAGCAACCGAATTCACAAATAACGGAATAGATAAATACTCGTATATTGAAAAGGAGTAGTTAACGCCTCGGACGGACGGGCACGCACCCAACCTCGCTGGAAAATGCGCCAAAAAAGCGAAAAGCGCAGTCTCTATCTTTGATAATAAAGGAGAATGAAAGGGCTGTTACAGCTATTGTAAACCATTATCATTTAAAATAAACCGATGCAACGAAATATCAAAGGATCCTCACTATTAAAATCACGTTTAACGACAATTTATTTTAATCTTACAATAGTATATTGGAAGACCAGTGTTACAATGCAACCGATTTTGCGATTTTGCGAAATTTTACCCAATTTGATTTGACATCTGATAATTTGAATTGACGAACTGCCAACCTATAGATGAAAAGTTACCAAAAACAATGTTACAATGGAAGTCTTTGTGTTTTTGCCGAAAACAGTTGTACATGTCTTGGGCATTGAGATCATGGTATTAATTTTGAGGTGCATTCCATCCTGGCGGCGTATTGGCATTCTGTACTATTATTCAGAGCAGCTCTGGTCTGATTCGCAGTATACTATGGCTTCACGTTATGCGCAATTTGATAATACATTATATACTGCGATTCAGAACACCGATATGGTTTCAGTGTCGGTTTCGTGTTTGTTTTATTGCTAAAATTAGCTAAGCACTTGTCGCGCCAAACACTGTTAATATCTTCACCCGTTTTTTAGCGCATTTCCACAAAAATAAAAAAAAAATGCGCTATTGTGGCCACTTTGTCCGTCCGTCCGTCCGTCCGTCCGCTCGTTTTGCGACGCTACTAGTTCTTTATCTTAAGAGCTATTGTTCTACCTTTTTCGCTATTTGGTTCGTTATGGTGTCGAGTCTTGTACCAAGGAAGGAATTTTTTCTGTACCGCTTACAAAAAAAGTTATTGTAAAAAAAAAACAAAAAACCGTTTTCTACATGTTTCATAATTTTACACTTTTGCCGTTTATTAACGATCCTAGAGATCGTTTATAATTTTGCATTGCTATCTGTCGTCTGCCTGTTGGTCTGTCCGTCTGTTCCTTTGTCTGTCTGTCCATCTATCTGTCCATGTGAACGATAACTATGTTTAGAAATGTTCGATCACTTTTACATCTCCGTTAGTTATGAACTGAATTGCATGAAATTCAATATGGGCATAGCTTTAGCCATATAATACGCAATGCCAAAAATTGAATCGAATCGATTCAAAATTCACAGTGCCCTTTTCGCATCTCGACCATTTATAAACCGAATTGCAAACTTTTTTTCTTATAAAAGTATTTGAATGAAATTTTATACATAGGCACTTGGAATAAAGGAAAATCAAACGCCAATTTCAAAATTTGGTTTTGCGCATGCGCAGTGCCAACTTTTTTATTTATGGAGGAATTTAAACGAAATTTGATACATAGGCACTTGGGATAAAGGAAAATCAAACGCCAATTTCAAAATTTGGTTTTGCGCATGCGCAGTGCCAACATTTTTATTTATGGAAGAATTTAAATGAAATGTGATACATAGGCACTTGTAATAAAGGAAAATCTAGCGCCAGTTTCAAAATTTTATTTTGCGCATGCGCAGTGCCAACTTTTTTAATCTATGGAAGCATTTAACTGAAATTTGATACTTAGGCGCTTGGAACAAAGGAAAATCTAACGTTAGCTTTAAAATTTAGGTTTGCGCATGCGCAGTTCCAACTTTCTTATTTAGAAAACCATTGAAATGAAATTCTTCTCATAAACTGAAATTGAAGTAGCACGTCAAAAATGGATTGCCCATGTGCAACGCTATCTTTCATATTTGCGGCCGGATTTTTACGATTTTAATAGAAGTTGCATCTTACAATAATGGGAAATGAATGCAAGTGGAAATGCGCTTTATGTAAATCGTTTACGATTACTTTTTAACTTGTTTTAAATTTCGCCTTAAATCCATGTTCTACTAGTTCCAAATATACGATCATTGAAAACTTATTCTCGTGGCACATTTCAACCAATACCTCTTTATAGATCATTTTAGTGCAGTTTGAGAACCTTGATTACACACAAACAACAAAAAATATACTTTTTCTACAACTGTCAAAAAAACCTGTCATTTTCTGACGGATTTCGAAACGCGAAGTACTAGATTTTTAATCGGTTAATTAATAAGTAAGGTTGCTCTTGACAACGTGCGCGAAATCGTCAACAGTGAAAAATAAGTATTTCGCGCACGGGACAAAGTTGAACTTAAACAGCAATTTAATTAACAATCGGTTCAGTTGTAGAAAAAATATTGTATATAACGCTAGCGCGAAGTTATTTCGCGCATTTGACTGATATCTTGACTCGGCTTCGCCTCGTCAAAATACCTTCAGTCTCAATGCGCGAAATTGAACTTCGCGCTCTTGTTATATAAATAACTATTTCTTGCAAAGGTAACAATAAAAACACTTTTTGTAAGTGTATGATGTGCTTTATAGAAACTCATTATATACAGTGTTTCAGAACTCTAAAGTTTAAACCATTTCGGTGCTCTGAATCGCAGTATATAATGTATTATCAAATTGCGCATAACGTAAAGCCACAGTATACTGCGAATCAGACCAGAGCTGCTCTGAATAATAGTACAGAATGCCAATACGCATCCCGGCGATGTAAATCCCGGCGACGTACACCCCGGCACCGTTTTCCCAGCCACAACCCATCCCGGCGACCACCCATCCCGGCGACCATTACTATCCCGGCATCGGTCATCCCGGCGATTTATACTCGGCGACTATTTCTTTCCCGGCATCGGTTATCCCGGAAATGCACACTTTCTTTATGCCGTCTGTCCAACCTTATTTCTCCTTTGGTTTTTTTGGACATAAATAATGATATACTTTAGAAGCGGATGTGAAATTTGGTACCGAAAGTGACTGTTATTGTGCCCGGCTGAACGCAATGTAATTAATGCTTAGAAATAGGTATACGAGACCGAAATATGCAAGGGAAGCTCAAATACGTTGTGTTGTTTACACAATTGCCATCGGTGCAAAGGATCCATTTTTTAAAATTGTGTTTTACCATTTACCTACGCAAGAACACTTTACCTACCTATAAATGGCATAATTTCAATTTGATACTATAGTCCCTGTTCTCGTCTTAAGTGTTTTCCATTCCTTCGATTGAAGAGTTCAAATTGCCGGGAAGACCGAAGCCGGGATTGCCCATCGCCGGGTTTAGAGTGTCGGGATAACCGAAGCCGGGAAGTAAATGGTCGCCGGGATGGCCTGTCGCCGGGAAATCGGTGCCGGGATAGTCATCGCCGGGATGGGAATTGCCGGGATGACCGTGGCCGTTAAATTTGTTCCCAACGATCTCGGTGCAAGAATAACGATTTTTTTGACATGTTTTGATCAAAATCCATGTGGTCGCCAAAAATAGATCAAATTCATGTTTTGGTCATAGAGATAATGCTCTTGGTCTTTTTCCCAACGATCTTGGTGCATAAATAACGATTTTGAAATATTTTGATCAAAATCCATGGGGTCGCCAGAAATGCATCAAATTTATGTCTTGGGCATTGAGATTATGCTCTTAGTTCTTTCCCAACGATCTTGATGCATAAATAACAATTTAGACATACTTGATAAAAATCCACGTGGTCGCCAAAAATGCATCAAATTCATGTCTTATAACTTTTGTTCCTGTTGAACCAGTTTCCTGAAAATCAATAGCATCCGTGCTTAACGTCCAAAGTACCCGCACACCAAATTTCAACACAATCGGTCACTTTTAAAAAAGTTAGAGCGCACACGGACGGACGGACGGACGACAATACAAAACTATAAAGGATCTGAGGATCCTTAATAATTAAAAGGCAACGCTTTCAACACCGTGTTTATGAAGTGCGGAAGTGTTCATAACCAAAATGGGTAATTTAGCATTGTACGTGTATACTTACCTATTAGATACTTTTCAAATCACTTTACCCTTAATATTTTATAGTATATATTAAGTAGAAGCAATTTGGACTATTATTAGGTAGGTAGGTAATACAGACAGCATTACCTATATCGGAATTTTCTGCGACCGCGTGTGTCACGCCAACGCATCTTAAGAATGTAAAACCAATGCTAATGTCAATGTATTACAGAATCCGTGACGTCACGACGATTCCAATTTTCCAATCTTGGTAACTTATTTACAAAGACATATCGTCCAATAGCGCGTATAGCTGGTTATCCGATCATATTTAATTCAGACGCGAAGGAAAACTGGTATATCGGTTAGTGCAGTGCTGTGTTACCGTCAAACATTTAAAAATGTTAAATAGTTTTAGTGTGCCGGTGGCAGTGTTTCTATGCTTGTTTTTTAATGCATATGGGCGTACGTATGTTCTTTAAACACGTTTATCCGAAACCTTAGTTATAAACGTTTAAAGCAGAAAAGCAAAATGTATTTTCCTTGGTTTCATCTTAATATAGATAATTGGTGATCAAAAGGTCGTGTCAGTGTCACAGTCAACAAAATATCGATAAAGTATGTTTCTTGCTCAATTTACTTCGCTTTGGTTTCACTTTGCGACTATCAAATACGGTTTGTTTATTTGTAATGGGCTTTTCGAAATTGCTAACCAAAAGAAACCGACGAATTAACATAAGGTCAAGGAAAATATTAATAACTCGTTTTTGTACGTTTGCATTTTGTTTTACATTCTAATCGTTCAGGTTTTTCCACAAAGCCTTGATTTTGTATACCTAAATTGTTATAGTGTCATAAAATTAATCGCTTCAAATAAACAGGTAGTGCACGTAAAAACTACGAAAATGTCCAGGATTAATAGTTTTTGGATTTTGGCGAATTTTGCTTTTGCAAGTGGGACGTGTTGACAATTAGGAATTTTAAGAAAATGCTACTGGCTGGGTTTTCCATTACTTCAAAGTAAAAAAAACACAATTATGAGGTTAAACTAGTGCTGATTAGATTTTTTTGGTTCAATATATTATCCCACAACGTGGTATTCCCCGATCAGAAGATTGTGCAACACAGGACGCGTCAACGGACCACGAATGTTTTTTGATCAGTAGTACGTCTTGAAAAGAGTCAAGTAGCTATTTAGGTTTTTGAAATACTTAGTCTTCAAGTCAACAATAGTAGTGTCAAAAAATCATTGGCTTACTGAATCAGCAGATCGGTATGCAAATAATTGTCGTCGCCAGTTCTTTTAGCGCATTTTCCAACTCATGTTGGATTTAAGATATTTAGTTCGTTCTTTTTGGATTCGGAAGCTAATAGCCTGGCGCTACAACCAAGAAAAATCTTGACGATTGATGTGCCCATGCGCAGTTTGCGCAATGTCAACGACTTTCCTATTTATGGAGATATTTCTTTGAAGTTTTAACCAGCGATGCTTCTAGTAAAGACAAGCATATCGCATAATGTGAAACTCAGACATACGCACTGCGAAATGGCATCTTTCTTATTTATAGATATTTTTGAAATTCTAACCAAAGATTCTTTTAGTAAAGACAAAGATATCGCATATTTTAGTTATCAGGTGTGTGCATGCACCGACTGCGCAATACTTAATTTTTTATTTATACGAATATTTAAGCCATAACTTGTTTTCCTTTGTACCTACATATAATTTATAAATAGAGCGTTATATGACCTTTCGGGAAGTACTGATCAACTAAAGTTACTCGCTTTAAGGCGAAAACCTTATTTTCATTTTTTGGGTTTGGATGCCTTATTTTAAGAAGTAAAGTATGGGCGTAGTTGTTCCTACGCCCATACTTTACTTCTTAAAATAAGGCATCCAAACCCAAAAAATGAAAATAAGGTTTTCGCCTTACTCACTGTAACTCCGGTTTGTTATCAGAAAAATGAAGATGGCAAGTTCAGTTTTGTCGCCTATTGAAAGACAAGTTAATAATGGATTACCAGAATTAAAAAACGCATAGGAAGCACCAGCATTGATCATTTTCATTTCAACAGAAGCAATAGCAATATAAAATGTCAGTCTACAGTGGGAGTTGTTTTTTTGATTTTCACTATATGTAAATCACGTAAACCGTACGATAGACAAATTCCTTAAATGGGCAAACTTAATCAGAATTTTATGCCGATTAATTTTCCCTTTCAATGTTTCTTGTACCGCAAAAAACCGAAAATGTTATTTTCGAGAATGTGCTGGCGTTCATTTATTTTCGAAGATATCAAAGGCCTAATAATGATCCAAAATTTGATCATCTTAATAAAGCATTTGTGTTCTCAGCTTTCTGATGTTGTTAACATAAAATTTTTATGACCTGCGTTTCGAGTAAGACGCATCGACTTTCTTGTTTCTATGGGCGCCATATTGGATTATAGTAAAGCTACAGGGAAAAATAATCTGTATAAAATTCTGCAAAACCTTGTCCATCTAGGAGATCTATCAGATATATTTCAAAAATATATCTCGATAAATAAGACAGTTGATGATATTGCGCATCCTGCACATGCGCAAATTAATCTGATGTTTACAATATGCGATAAGTAGGTATGCTTTTATTAAAAGCATCTTTGGTTACAATTTCAAAGAAATACCTCCATAAATAATAAAGTTGGCATTGCGCAGTATGCGCATGCCCACATCTGATTTTTACTATATGCGATATATTTTCCTTTATTAGAAGTATCTGTGGTTAAAATTTCAACAAAATATATTAATAAATATGAAAATCGACATTGCGCAGCTTAATGGTTAAGATTTTTCTTGGCTCAGGTGCCAGAGCTATACACTACCGAATCCAAAAAGAACGAACTAAATATCTTGAAAACTGTAGGAGTAGTTAAGGCCTCGGACAGACGGACGGACGAACAGAGAAGGTGGCTGCAATAGCCCGCCCATAGACTTGTCCAAAGGCCTTCAAAGTTCTGCGATTTGACGCTTCTAGATCTTGTCCTACTTAGGACTACCCGAAGTCAAATGGTTTATGCTAATAAACCAGCATACTGAACGTCTTGGGACCCAACATATTGTTTATATGATTTATGACATAACGCCACAATTACTTGAAAAAGTGACTCAAAATAAACCGAAAGAATGCGGTTCGTCCTGAACAGTCGCGTTTGCCTCAATTAGTTTTTAAATAATTAATGCTATGTGTTAATCTTTCCAATAACATTACATTATTTAACAAAGTTATTTTTGTTAATATTTAAGAGGTTGATTGCAATAAAAAACACGGAACTTTTACAGGAAAAGATAAACGTATTTAGTTATATTTTACTAAAGTGGGAGTGACAGTGACATATAACAAAACTAAACAGGGTGAGTTTTTCTTAACTTCCACTATAAGGATTTCGTAAACCGTACGAGATACAAAGTCGTTTAAATGGTCAAAATTATGCAGAATTTTATGATGATTAATAATTATCCCATTCATAATTTTTTGTAGCTCTACAATTTGATGGAATTATTGCCATAAGAAATAGATTGTAAGCTTCAAAGCAGAAATCGCCGATTTTGTAATTTTATCTTAGTTAACGAGATATTCGAAGTCAAATACGAAAAAACACGAGATTTTCTCATTTTTTCTTCGTTTTTTGATAATAACGATATGTTCCGGCGGTTTCCGGCCAGGGGGGCTATGAGTTTCGGATTCAGCGGATTTTTTTACATCGGATACGTTTGGTTTCATTGAGTGAAGTGACAACATCCAGCCCAAACCGTAATTTGACTGGACTATTTGTAAATATCAAAAAATCGTCCACTCAAACGACAATAAATATAATTTTAGATTTATTTACGTACCTAATAATATACACATGGATCAATTTTTGATCTTTCCCAACCAAGTTTAAGTTCAATTTTAGGTTCCACTACCGGCTAGCTTGCTTGAGTCCATAAGTAGATTTATGAAGATGACAATCTGGGCATTCTCGTCATAGTATTCTGGTTATGACATATATATTTCAGTGTCTATGTGACCCTAAACAAAAGCATTTACCGAAAGAAAATATTATCGTGACCGTGTGACCTCCGGTTTTACCGTATGTGGACAGCAACTTTCTTATTTTAAATAGAACACCCTGTATTTTATTGCATTTTCGTAATCTACATCTAGGTCGGCTGATATACCAACTTTCCCTATAACCAGCATCAAACGTTGTCAAGTTATTCAAGATTTTTCCAAATTTTTAACGTTTGACTGTTTTTCTTTTGGGCCCTGTACCTATGACTACGTGGACTGGATTTCAAAAAGTCTTCCAAAATCCATAATACCGACTTGATGCTACGTTCTCCAATTTATGTGTTAACAGTTCCGGACGAGGTTCCGGACGCATATTTGTAAACCGCCGACGTGCCCTCAAAAATTCAGGTGGTATTGCAAAGAAGTGTTCAAGTTAGTCGATTATCACACACACATATTAAACATAAACAGTGTTAATGAGAGGGCCCCTTACTTGTCCCATCTAAACTTTATATATTTTTTATAAGTGGTGGTGGCGTGGTGCATTGTTCGCTGTTGCTATTTCCATAGATACCGCTAACTACTACCAATCAATAAACAATGCTACTACGGTACCATGCTGAGGCGCGCACGCTTTCCCAAAAATAGCAAAATTTCTTTGTCGTTAAAAGATCGATTTCACCAATTCAAGCGTCTTTATGTCGACGTGTACCGGGTGACCCAATAAGACTGTTCCTCGGCCATATCTCGGGAACCGTTAGTCATATGACTTAGGGGTAAAAAAAAGTATTGGGTAAATCGGTTATGAAGAATCGCTGGAAAATATTTTCAAGTTCTAAAAATGACCCCCAGAGGACGTAACTGCATCTTTAATTTTAAAATTGCATTTTCTTTAAATTTCGCCTAATAAACTAAACATTCACATTTTTAAAGAGAACCAGTTTATCTATCATTTCCGTTAAAAACAAAAACTCGGTTATTTCAAAAACAAAGATGGTGTGGGACGTTCAATTGTTTTTGCAATAACCTGCTTTAACTTCTTAACCGTTTGACCGATTGTAACAAATTTGGTATCGTTGAAAAGAGCATTCCTTGGGCAACAAGAATCAATTAAAATATAGTTAATTTAGTTGAATCCTTTTCCACCAGGGGGTTAGTTTTGACACTATGATCCAAAATCCTAAAAAAATCAAGTGGAATGATATGACTTTTTCTTTATGAAAAAGTAGCTCAATAACATCCAAAGTGGCCAGTGAAAACCGTTTTTCAAAATCTCGTTCCTAACCTCAAATATTGGGAAAATGAGATTAATTAATTATTTAATAAAAATGCTTAAATTGTATCTTAAATTTGCTTTTGACGTATTACCGGTATTTATCGATGGCGCGAAAGATTGTTTGGAAAATCACCCTACACTTTCAGGTAGGCCTTGGATAATTAAACAAATGAAACACGATGCATTATAAATAATAACAACCGTAATTGGTAATTATTCTTCTGTGTTTACATTCAGAAAGTGCAGTTTTTTGAATTTGTAATCTTTTCTAAAATGCCGCTTTCTAACCAAAAAGCATTTAATATGCTGGCGGCGATGGTTCGTGTTGATTCGGATAACGCAAATAGAAGGTGCGGGCAGCGATGGTCGCATTTTGAAAACACTCAAAATATATCGCCACCATATTAAATGCCACCTAGGCTGGCATACCTACGCATAATTTTTCGTCATATTTAGCACCTTGACACTTTCAATAAAACACTGATTTTTGTGATCACTGACCAACAAAGACTACATATGTATCATGGTTGCCAAAGTCTGTACATTCGGTTCTATACCTACGTAAATAACGATTCTGTAGGTATCACCCTGGAGACGGTAAATTCTGTATCTGCATCATCTCAGATACAGAATAAAAACATGTAGGTATGTAGCTACTAATTGACTAATCGTACAACATCCCTTACTCAAAGAGGTGGTAAATTACTTTGTCCAGCTATGACCGGTAAGGGTACCTATCTAAAATTATTATTTTCGTAATTCTGGCACGGTTTCGAAATTCGTTTTCGCGAAAATGAGTACCAGCTTTTGGCTCGTCAGATAACATTTTACACAAAATATTCAACACAGTGACGGCCTTACTAAAAGTTAACATTTTAGCACATGTAGATTATTCTTTTTTGTTGACAGAACGATGTACAACGCCCAACGACGAAGTCGCGCAATGCATCTCTATTTATGACTGTGGAGTATTATACAATTCGATAACAAGTAAAGATCCATCGGTAATCAGATTTCTAAGACAGTCTCAGTGCGATTATCAGCAAGTTCCGTACGTTTGCTGTGGAACTTCAGCTACCTATCGGAATCCCTCGCGTCGTCCAACGGATAGACCGCCAGCTTCGACGGGAGGTAGACCCGCAAGTCTTTTACCTAATCGCGCTACATGCGGATTTCAGGTGGGTTACAAATTGGCAAATGTTACATATTAATTTTACCTTTGTAGGAAGGGGCGAAGGTTTTGGGAGGCGTGCAAACCACACATTCAGAATTCCCATGGATGGCTTTAATGGAATACAGAAAAAACGTAGGTGGTGGCAGAACATTTTCTTGTGGCGGTGCCCTGATTAGCAACCGATATGTTTTAACGGCGGCTCACTGTGTTACTGGGAAAATTAGGGAGCAAGTGGGTCCACTGTAAGGTGAAACATATTTGTCAAACCTATTTTAATACTACCGATTACTGTAGGATTAGTGTGCGACTTGGAGAATGGAATACAGAAACCTCTCAAGATTGCGTTACGGTTGAAGGTTTTGAATTGTGCAATGATGAGCCACTTAATGTGGCCGTTGAGAGCGTGGTTGCTCACAATGATTACGATGATTCATCTATCAATAGATATCATGATATAGCACTAGTACGACTGGCACGAAACGTGCAGTTCACAGGTTGAGATATTTAACGCCGCTATTATTCGCTTAACATTTCCTTTCAGATTTTATTCAGCCTATTTGTTTACCTACGTCGTCAGAAAGAGCAAGTATCGGTAACCAACTTTGGGTGTCTGGATGGGGTCGTACAGAATACGCCAATTCGAGCCCGGTAAAGCTGAAGGTTAGGCTGCCCATCGTTTCGAATTCCCAATGCGCCAACACCTTCAGAAGAGCGGGTGTCCAACTCTCAAACACCCAACTTTGTGCCGGCGGAGAACGTAACAAAGACTCCTGTAATGGTGATAGTGGTGGCCCATTAATGCAAGTTATGAACCGTGATTCAAATCCACAATGGTACATAGAAGGAATTGTTTCGTTTGGTACGCGCTGCGGTACAGAGAACTGGCCGGGAATTTATACTCGAGTGGTTGACTACTTAGGATGGATAAGCAACAACATGTCGCCCTAGTTTTTGTAATCTTAGGAACAAAGTGTAAATTGTAATTTATTGGTTAATTTTTGCAGAAAAGGCGTGTATAGCTTTCTTGACATATTAGAAAAACTGTTTTATTTGAAAGGTATTAAATGTGTAAATAGAAGTATTTTTTTGATTGATGCAAACGTCATTAGCCATAAATAATACAAATACTTGACATCGACATTCGACAGTTTTTATTTTTATATTAGTATAAATATAATCATTTCCTTCCATCTTGTATATCATAATTTTGTTTGATCTACTTATATATGGTTAATTTTGTCGGGAACGCTAGTACAGTATCAAACTTTCAAGTGACTTCATAATGTTGAAGTATTGTTTGTTGTTTTTGGTAACTTTATCGCATGCTTTAGAAAGTACAATTTGAATAAACAAACGAAAAAGTTACAGTAAATATGTTTTAGATAATACCATTTGTTATCGTGACCTTAATTGTATCCCACTATCCGAATGTGAAGAAATTATAGATTTCGTCAACGTTGATAATTATACAAACTATGCAAGAAGTCTTTCCTGCGGTTATTTTCATGAACCATACGTCTGTTGCAACAGTATGTTACATGCTTTTTCAGGAAAACCGTTATTGTAATTCATACGACAGGAAACTGCATCACTCCAAACGGAAGCCATGGCCGTATGGTGTTATTGCAAAACTGTCCCAATTTAGAAAAGAATACTCTACCTCAACACAAAAACAAACAAAAGTTTCTGAAAGATTCCTTTGTCAATGAAACCCACGTATGTTGCAATAGAAATGAAGACGGATATAAAACAGTGTTGCCAGCCCCAATTGGTGAGAAACGTTGTTAGAAATACCTACTAATCAGAGCACCTGCTTTTAATAGATGATCTCGCCAATAACGCTCTTGCGTGTGTCACTCCAAACGGAGAAAACGCAAAATGCACTGGCATTTCTTCATGTTCCGCATACGCTTACGTTGCTAGCAAAACAAATCAGCATTTTGGTTTTATAAATGATTCATTTTGTGGGTATTGGCAGTCTCCTATGGTTTGCTGCGGGACTGTTTCAGCATACAAGGAAAATTATGCGGCAAACTTACCAAAGGAGGATGTATGTGGTATATGGAATTCTTTGTCACATGATGGCATTCCACCGTGGGTTGGAATGATAGAAGTGTCAAACTCACATGAAAATATGTGCATTGGGGCTTTAATTAACCACCAATATCTAATATCTACTCCCACTTGTGCAGGAAGCGATGAAAAAAAATTGTAAGTATTATTGCGCGAGTTGATTGATTCAAACAGTATTTTGGTTAAACTTGCAAAAGCTCACACAGAGAACAGAAAAGGGCTTTTTGATATTGTGTTCAACGATTTTCTGAAGTGGACAACATTGTGCAAGGGTGTCAATACGTTCAGTATACCTAAAAGAGAAAGTCATGTAATTTATCAAACGTTTGAAAATAAGTTAAGAGCATCCATTGTCCTCGATATCACGTAATCTTATCACTTCATATCAAAAAGCCGTGAGCTGGATTATACGGGGTGTTACCTGACCGCATGTAAACAAAATCGGGTGATAGAGGGGATCAAGACAAGCACTTTTTCCAAATAAACCGAGGGTGCAACGTGTTGGGAGCCACCCCCAAAGGACTGGTGAAATTTGGGTTTCTTCTTTAATCTTTTTCTCAGCAACCATGAGTTACAAAGATGGGTGTCACGTCTTTGAATACGTTTTCGGGTATGCGCTATCCGATTTTGAAACCTTTTTTCCAAAATTTCTACCCCGAAAGAGCGCACCCCTATTTTCGAAAAAAAAGTTCCACTGAAATTCTTGGCCAACAACGAAAATGGAGAGAATTCCACGAAATTTGTTGTGTACATACCTACTTGATGAGTTAAGGAACAAAATTGTCACACAGTTTTTTAAAATAACTTTTCAAACAAAAGTTATACTCATTTGAAGATCGGGCCTTCGGGTTACAAAGTGTCCCCTGCCTACTAGTAAGTGATCCAATTTCCCATGTAGTTAATTGAAAATGTCGCAAACAACAAAAAACATCGATTTAAGTCGACAATTTTGTTCCTTAACTCATCAAGTATGTCCACAACAAATTTCGTGGAATTCTCTCCATTTTCGTTGTTCGGCCAAGAAATGCAAGTGGAACTTTTTTTTTCGAATTTTCAAAAACTAATTTCAGATTCGTCATTTTCATGTTCAAAAACCCCCAGATACCAAATTTCGTCGAAATCAGAATTTTTTTTCGCATCCCCAAGGAGAGGTGCGCCCTTTCGGGGTAGAAATTTTGAAAATTTTTTGTCAAAATCGGATAGGGCATACCCGAAAACCTATTCAAAGACGGCACATCCATCTTTGTAACTCTTATGGTTGCTGAGAAAAAAATGAAAGAAGAAATCCAAATTTCACCACTTCTTTTGGGGTGGCTACCAAACGAAACACGTTGGACCATCGGTTTATTTGGAAAAAGTGTTTGTCTTGATCCCCTCTATCACCCAATTTTTTTTGCATGTGGTCATGTAACACCCTGTATAACTTGGGCTATGCGCGGTATAGTCGTAACAAGTCTGCGCTGTCTACTCTGTCACTTTATAATTTGTTGTAAAACAGAAACAGTATTTGTAAATTATAAATTTATAAGTAATTTAGTCGTACCTAGGTAGGTATATGAAGTATAACCATCAATTAGTAGTACCAACCTCAACAATTTTTGGTTTTGCGAGAAATTCAATCGAATATCATTTCTAAAGAATTTCTAAAAAAAACAGCGTCTCTTTCGTATTGGCGAGAATTTATATTACCATATTATACACAAGCAAAAATAACCCCCAAAATCTTAAGATGGTGGTAATGTAACGAGAAAGGTATTGCCAGCAAAAATTATTACAAAATATTTTCTGTAGACCTACTCAACAGAGCTCAACAGCTCATATAATACCCTATAGAATATAGATCCATACAATTTTTGTTTACTACATTTCCCTTGGTCTAGCATTAAGTTTTTGGTCTATTTTAATTATTTATTTTAAATATATTAATTAATGTTAAATTATATGAAAGTTAAATAAATTAGATAGTATTAGTTAAACTGCGAGCTTCGTTTGTATGCATTTTTACATTATTTTTAATTTTTCTTAATAGAAATGGGAATTACGTTTAACCAATAACATAAGCCAATAAATTGTACGTGCATTTTACTTCACCATACCAACCGTACAATATTACTCTACATATTACAAATCACTTCCGTAACCGAGTACAAAATTCAATGAAATTTGTCTTGTTCATATTGTTTTCATTTTAGGATCGTGAAATTTGGAAACTGTATCACAAATAGTAGCTATAGAAGTGAATGTCGATTTAAAGTGAAGCAAATAAAAACATTTCCATTGTACAACTATTTGCATTCTGATGATACAGGAATTGCGTTGCTAAAGCTAGCTGGAACAACCACAAAATCCAGTAAGTATAAAAGATAGATCACAATTTTAAGAACAAATTGTTTGCAGTGTAATACAACTGTGAAATATTATAACCAAATACATCTTGAAATGCACCAAACTGCATAGATCAAACAAGTTAAAAAAGTAATCGTAAACGATTTACAAAATGCGCATTTCCACTCTAGATTCATTTCCCATTTGTTAGATGCAACTTGTGTTAATATCGTAAAAATCAGGCCACATGAAAGATAGCATAGGTACAATCCATTTTTGACGTGCTACTTCAATTTCAATTTATAAGAAGAATTTCATTTCAAAAATTCATAAATGAGAAAGTTGGCACTGCGCATGCGCAAACCTAAATTTTGAAACTAACGATAGACCGGGAGGCAGTGTACATAGTAACTAAACCATAACCGGCAAAATATTCGACAGGCTGAAAGTACGTTGAAAACTAGTAATAAAATCACTCGTCTGCCAGTCGTAAGTGGCAGCATTAACATGTGGCGGCGTTGAATAAGTAACTTCTTTAGGTGATCACCTAAATTACTAAACTATAAGGGTCACGGAAAAGATTTATATCAAGAAATCCCATTTTCCCATAGTTTTCAAATATGCTATGGCAGACGATTTCAAGTGCAGCGTTGGTGGCGACAGACACCCTTCAATGTAGAGAAAAACACCCCTGAACTAAACCATAAGGACCGTATAAAAATAAATAAAAATAAAATTCCTCTCTATATATCGCTACTTAAAATATATCCTGGCAGACGATATTATAACGTGTAGCTTTAATAGTGGCAGACATCTTAGAAGTTAAAAAAATTAGGTATAATTGTTTATATGATCTAAGGGTATAATAAATCCCAGCGAGTGCGAGCGTGTGAGAGATAATCGCGCGAGAGCTTAACGAACAAAGATAGCGATACGATACTGACTACTGAGATCCTTCAAACCATTTGATTCTAAACTTCTCATTCACATAGTTCCACCCACTTCAATCAGACGGATTGTAGAAGGTCAGACATTTTTCGGTGGCATTTGCTCAAATTGTAATGAACTAAAAAAAACCGAAAAATGTCTGACCTTCTACAATCCGTCTGATTGAAGTGGGTGGAACTATGTGAATGAGAAGTTTAGAATCAAATGGTTTGAAGGATCTCAGTAGTCAGTATCGTATCGCTATCTTTGTTCGTTATGCTCTCGCGCGCTTATCTCTCACACGTTCGCACTCGCTGGGATTTACTATACCTACATTTTTTAACTTCTAAGGGTACGTTCACTACGGAGCTGTGATACGAGATTGTAGCATAGATGATAGATGAAAGCGTCGAGTATAAGCGCTGATGGGGTGTGCACAACAACGCTGAAATACTCATCAGTCGGTTGCAAAATGTCATATAAAGAAGACGATTATTTCTGTTCGGTGGCCTCAAAATGGTACATTTTACGGAGACATAAGGTTATTTCTAGAGAATATCATGTACATCCAATAAATGCAAAGCGTTCTACATTAGGTGAATATCACCACCTATATGCAGAGTTGCGCCAATATCCTGACCGTTTTTTTGAATATTTACGAATGGGGCCGGAGACGTTTGATTATATTTTGAAAAAAGGTTATGAGCACTTGACACGTATTTACGCGATTTCAGCGCGCAGAAGAATGGTACGATCCATTCATTAAAATACAAGCGAGTATAACAGTGCGGATACTCGATTAACTCACACCTTCACTGTGCACGGGCTCATTTGATTATACCGTATTCATTCTACAAGCGCTTATAAAGCACAGCTATGATCTCAGCTATCATCTAGTATCACAGCGCCGTAGTGCACGTACCCTAAGACGTCTGCCACTATTAAAGTTACACTTAATATTGTCTGCCAGGGTATATTTAAAGTAGTGGCAAAAAGAGGAATTTTTTATATATTATTTTTTATCGAATATTTTGTCGCTTATGGTTTAGTTACTATGTACGCTGCCTCCCGGGCTATTATATTTTCCTTTGTTCCAAGTGGCTCTGTATCAAATTTCGTTTAAATACTTTTATAAATAAACAATTTTGCAATTCGGTTTGTAAATGGTCAAGATGCGAAAATGGCACTGTGGATTTTAAATCGATTCGACTCAACTTTTGCCATTGCGCATTATATGGCTAAAGCTATGCCCATATTGAATTTCATGCAATTCAGTTCATCACTAACGGAGATGTCAAAGCGATCGGACATTTCTAAACAAAGATCGTTCACACGGACTGTTAGATGGACAGACAGACATATAGGAACAGACGGACAGACCAACAGACAGCAGTACAAATAAACGATGTCTCGGATCGTTAATAAACGGCAAAAGTGTAAAATTATGGAACATGTAAAAAATGGTTTTTTGGTTTTTTTACAATAACTTTTTTAGCAATAAACGCAGAAAAACTTCCTTCCTTGGTGCAAGCCTCGACACCATAACGAACCAAATAGCGAAAAAAGTAAGCTCTTAACATAAAGAACTACTAGCGTCTCAACGAACGAGCGGACGGCCGGACGGACTGACGGACGGACGGACATAGTGGCCACAATAGCGCAGGATTTTGTGGAAATGCGCTAAAAAGGGCATTTGTTTCTGTGTGGTTCCCCACAAGTGGGAAAATAACGAACTTTTGTTTTGGCCGGAGCACTTATACTCCCAAGGGGAACAGTTACGAAGTAACCCAAAAAGTGCGCCCTGAATGCATCCTAAAGGTCTCAGATTTAGAGAACTTTAAAGATGCACTCAAACTTGAGAGGCGCTTGTTTTGCGCACTATATGGTAACGAACACTTTAAAGTGAATTTTGAGGATGATTGCCATTTTGAAGTGATTATGATTTCATGCGAAGTGTGGCAAACACTTATCCAAGTGACAATATCGTGCCCGCCACCAGTGCATTTATACAATAACGTGGCACCATCTTTACAGAGGTGTGGCTAGAACGTCGCCAAAACTACCATACATACACTTTCCAGTTACTTCCACTTCTAAGTAACATTTAAGTGATATTGCATGGTTACCGTAACTGTTGCTTTCCACTTTAAAGTGTGTGCAACTTTGAAGTGGCACCGCTTAGTGACTTTAACGTTTTGAACTCTTCCAAACCCACTAAGAAGTTACAAAACGATGAAGCGACGCGTAGCCGTCAAATTCACGTGAATATAACTTTGAAAACATAGCATGAAGTTATGTTCACTATGTTGTGGTAAATTTGGTGGTTATTATGTGATTACCACCGAGTTAAAGTGGCGGAATCAGTTAATGTCATTATAATGCTGCTTGGGTTGGTTTTCCATTTGTACCGTTGTTATAAACCGTGTAAGTATTCCGATGACCATGCTTTCCAGATTTCCTTTTTCATTTTCTGTACCATTTCCCATCTGTTACTGAGTGTTATCAGTAAGTCTTCTCCTGTTTCTTCCAATGGCTCTAACAGCCCCCTAACTTATGAACTTCCTTATATATATACAGAGTGATGACTTACATACTACAACAAGACATGCTTCTATTTGTTGTACTAATGTGTTTAGTTCTTCATATGTCATGTTTTAAAATTTCAAACCACTTTCCCAGATCCCACCCATATGGGGACTTGCGGGAGGGATGAAATGCAATTGTGTTCCTGGTATAGATGAAGCGACTCGGATCTTCTTGCTTTGTAATATCTTGTGGATATCTTGCTCTATCATTTTGCTGGCTCCTACGAAGTTTGTTCCATTGTCGCTATGTATGTGCCGACACCGGTCTCTTCGTGCTTGAAACCGTTTTAGAGCTGCCAAAAACGATTATGTTGTCGTGTCACCTCCAAATGGATTGCCCGTGTTGCTAAACATACGAACACGGCTATGTACCCATTGTATGATTTATACCCTCGACTTTTCCATGCCCTGACCTGTATAGGACCTGCGTAATCTATTCCACAATGCTAGAATGGCGCGGATGGTGTAACTCTTGCTGCCGGAAGATCCCCCATTAATTGGGTCGCTGTTTGTTTCTTGTAAGGGATGCATCCTTATTATTCCTTGAGCGGTTCTTCTCCCGTTGGGAATCTAGTATCTTCTTCTTAGGTATGCTAAGGTGATCGGTTGTCCTCCATGCAGTGTTTTTTGATGTGCATCTACTATTAATAGATGCGTCAGATGTGACTTTGCTCCAATGATGCACAGGTGCTTCACATTGTATGTTAGTAGTGAGTTGGATAATCTTCCTCCTACTCGCAGTATTTCGTCCTGGTCTATGAATGGATTTAGAGATGTCATCTTGCTGTCTGTTGGTATCTTCTTGCCTTTCCTTAATGCTTGTATTTCGCTCTGATGAGTTTCTTATTGTGGCCTTCTTATCTGCTGGATCAATCCTTTTTTCAATTCTTCGACTGTTGACTTCTCGTTCTTTCTGCAGTATGATATGAACCGGTTGCAGTATGCTGTGACTCCGAGTAACCTTGTTAGCGACGAGAATCTTTCCCCTGACCGTCTTCTTGTGATTTTGTGATTACTATGCATTTTCATGTTTCTACGTTCGTTGTAGGTGTGGCCTTTTCTCTTGATTTCCATTCCTCGTTTGCTAACGATTTTGGTCTATTCCACCATAGTTCGTTTGTTTTTAATTTGGACCCTGTTGTCCCTCTTGATATTAGATCAGCGGGGTAGTCAGTTGTGCATATGTCTCCATTGCATCTTTGTTGTTAGATTGTTTATCTCTATTACTCGGTTGTATACGAACGTCTTCCATCTGCTTGGCCCTCCGTTTATCAAGGCCAGTGTAATCATTGAGTCTGTCCATGCAAAGATTTCTTCTATTTGGAGCGCCGTTGTTGTTGCTCTATTGATAAGCTTGGCTAGTAGTACGGCGGCACATAATTCCAACTTTGATATTGTTGGCTTTGTTCGTTCAGAGGCTACCTTGGATTTTAGTGACAGCTTTCCTTGGCTGGTTTTTGTGTACACTACCGCGCCGTATGCCTTTTCTGATGCATCACAGAACCCTTGTATTTCCAATATTTCTTTCTTCTTATGTATCCATCTTGGGATCTGCACCAACGTTGGAGATGAACTTCAGCAATTCCATCCTTAAACTTTCAGGAACCTTTTCGTCCCATGATGCATTTGTTAACCATAATTTTTGGAATAGCAGCATTGCCGTTATGGTTACCGGTGCCAACCATCCTAATGGATCGAATATCTTGGCTACTGCTGATAATATACCGCGTTTGGTCGTTGCGTGATTGCTGTTTTCTATCTTGAATGTAAACACGTCTTTATATGTGGTACCCACAGTATCCCTAAAGACTTCTTCATTTCTTTATCCTTGAACTGTGATACTGATGGATCTCTTAGTTCGACAGGGATTGATTGATGCAGTTGTAGCTTGTTAGTTGACCATTTGTGTACTCTGAATCCTCATTTGTCTAGCATGACTGTTAGCTCTTGTTGTAGTTGGATGACTTCCTCAATGGTTTGGGCCCCTGTTAGTACGTCGTCCACATAGAGGTCGTTTAACACAACCTTTGATACGTTAGGGAAGTCTTTTTCTTCGTCCTTCGCGGTTGTTGTAGGGTGCGTGTTGCCAAATAAGGTGCTGCGGAAAAAAGGTTCAAGAGCGTAAAAAGCCCTCTGGTAGCCTATACCTTGAAGGTGTGTCAAACGGCCATCAAATTTAGTTGTCTAAAAGGGGGGCCGCCCCACGAATTATTTCCCGAGGTGCTGTTTTTGAAAGTAAATCGTGCATATCTTTTACATACGACAACCAACTGGTCTCAGATTTTGCATACGCATGCCCTTAGTGGTGGCAAGTTAAACTAAAGGGGGGGGGGTAAATACATGTTCTCTTCTTCATGGTATTATTCTAATGAAAGGTCTCATCGAAATAAATTGGTTTGTACAAACTATAACTTTCCCGTGCGACTCTTTTTCGAGACCAGTGAGCGGTGGGGCTTGAGGGGGACGGGGAGGTTAAAAATTAATTTTATCTCTCATTGTATTCTAATTAAAGGTATCAACGAAAGGAACCGTTTTCTACCAACTGCTGCCCCTCTTTCTGTCCTGTTATCAAAGTACGGGGTGGTGGGGAAGGGGGGGGGGGAAGGGGAACTAGTTTTAGCCTTCATGGTACTCTAATGAAAGATCTCAACGAAAGGAATTAATTTATACCAACCATAGCCCTCTTCCTCGACATCTTATCGTGATCGGGTATATTCCCTTATACCTGAAGAACGGATTGTCGGAAGAGAGTACTCGCAAAAGGCGATTGAGACGTCTGCAAGAAATATATCCATTGGTGATGTCAAAACAAAGGCTATTTCGGTTTTTAAAAAATGCGCTTTGTCTGCACAAGAGTTGTGCACAATTTATACTTGTTGTAACTTAGGTTGTTATAACGAAACCCAACAGTGCAAATATAAAAAGATTTATCGCTGTATAATGTACTGTATTCAATTTTTCACACAGGTCGTATCAGATCACCCGCGCTAATCTTTTTTTCGAAAACCTTTTGAGCTATATGCACTCGAGGGACAAAATTTCATTACTAAATCAGACTGAAAGAATTTAATGGACATAACGGCAGTTACTTTAGAAATTATAAAAATGACATAGGAGGAAGTTTTGTACATTTTTACGTGGAAATCAGTCATCAGGTTTCCGTGGATTTGTAGTAGGCGATGGGAATGATAACATTTTGAACTTGGTCTTCAAATATGCCTACATATTTTTTCCATTTAACCTGCATTGTAACTGAAGGATTCTGAGATACTACTGTGTATGATAGATACGACACCCTGTATATAGAACTTGGTTCTTTTATAATGAGATTTAAAATAGTCATAGCATTTTGGAATTTGCAAAACTGCTTATTTTTGGGCACGTGCTAATCTTATGTTATGTTTAGATAGAATGCCAATCTGTTTACCGGAAAACCCTCTTCCAATACGCCAGAGGGTTAACATCCATGGTCTAGAGATGTTCGGTGCAACAAAAATTGTTGGAAACAGCATTTTAGGAACGACGCTATTCAATGACGATTGCGATTTTGGGACTGATTTGAAATACATCTGCTTAAGAAGAGAAAATGTTGGTTTTTTTCCGTATCGATACATCGTTGCCAAATCAGACAATAGGCAATGGTATTTGGAAGGCATATTTAACTGGAAGGATTGGAAGGTCGCCTCACATGAGAATATTTATAGCGTGTATGTTTATAAATTCGTATCCTGGATCAAAAGTAACATTTCTTGAAATCTTGCGCAACACTATTATTAATAATAATTATGTCTCTTTAATGCTAATACTTTGTAAATGTAATAAATATTCATTTGGCATCTTTAATATTTCATTTTTACTTTATTATGCACGATTTCGATTAATATAAATTATTATATTGCGTTTGTCGAATAAAGTTTTTGTAGACAGTACCTACCTCCTACGTGTAATTATTATCTATAACATTCTACCTACCTGCTGTACACTCGCTGTGTACACACGAATAAATAACGTTATTATTTAGATACACGTAAAACGTACGGTGTTAAAAAAGTATGCTCATCTTGACCACGCAGAAGTATACCTACCACTGACCACAAAGTACGTAGATTGGTAGCAAACTTTTTATAATTTTGGATACCATAAAAAGTTTCTTTAAAAAAATGTTGTTTTGAAGATATTTTCAGTGCTTCAGAGAAAATTTCCACCCTGTACATAAACTTCCACATAAACTAATCAAACCGAATCTGCCCACGCCGTTGTCGTAGAGCGTTAATGCAATAAGATTATTGCCAATAAAGAACAATTGCTATAACCAAACAACTTCTTGTAAAGTGGCGGAGACTGGCATATACTCTTCAGTTTCAGTAGTTGATAGGGCCACGTTACCTGACCCTTGGAACCCCAGGAGATGAGTTTTTGATTTTGATAAATGCAACTGTAATCAGTGGTTGACCGTCGATTAGCTAAATCGTCGGCACAATCACCCTCCGTGAAAGCGTTCATGTCTTCATCATTTCTCTTGAACTCTAACTTAAAGTATACAGTTCCGTTGATGTAACGAAAAACACGCTTGACCGCTAACCAGTAAATTTTTCCTGAATCTTTGTTGAACTTCGACAAAGCTCCAATTGCGTAAGAAATATCTGGTATACTGATTTGTGCTGCATATAATAGACAGCCATTTGCCTTTTGATAAGGTAAATCATCTCATTAATTTCTTCTTCGGTAGATGGTGAAAACCCCTTGGCCAATTTTTGATTGAGATCCATTGCATAGGAACAAGCATTCTTACATTCATCCATGTAAAACCGCTTCAATATTTCTCGTATTTCTCTTGATCAATCCATAACTTCCCAGCTGCTCTATCACGCGTAATTTTCACCCCAAGGATATAATCTACTTCACCAAGTTGACAATTCTAACAAATTGTCCTTTCATTGTTGAGTTATTTGCTGTCATAATTTCAAAACTAGAAAATTCCTGAACATTCTGGAAGTGATTAAGGTTAAGAATCAAATCCATTCTTTTTCTCGACACTATATCGCCGACACAGTACAAAACATGTTCTTGTCGTCAGTTTTCTTCTTTTCGAGCTTCTTCTTAGCACAATTCGACTTGATATGTCTGAATTCATGACATCTATAACACTTCACAGTGCACATTATCATTAGTTGATACTTATCTCGAAGATCAGCCAACATTAATGTTCCATTCCATTTGTTCCTTAACTACCAAACAAACACTGCTTAGCTTAGTTGCAGTTACTTCGATTATGTTTACAAATTCCTTAATCGATGAGCAATTCTCAAGCTTTGATGTTTTAAGCTTGCGTCGAAATTCAATTTTCTAGTTAATCCAGATTCTTCAAATGCTTTATAAAGATTATCTCAAATTTCCTGACCATTTTTCGCTTGACGAATGTGAATGAATAGTGAGGGATCAAGCAGTTAAATCAGCGTAGATCTGGCTGCAACAAGTTTCATTTTGTCTTCACCCTTGCGTTCAACAGCATTCCGCAGATCCTCCATCTGATAGTATACATGCACAGCAAATTTCCAGGTATTCCAGTTTTCACGTCCTTTTAATCTTTCGATTTGTGGTAAATTAGAAAGATCCATTCTTGATATTTTCGCAGCGACTAATTCTTTTTAGTAAAAGAGCGTAGGCCCATAACCTAATGTGATTAATAAATAAGTTTATTATCAAAAGAACAATAATTAAGTTTCTTTCTTCAACAAGCGTGCGGTGCATTTTAAGCCAAATCGCGCACTATGGTGGGTCCCGATGAACCAAAGTAAACCACGCGCAAGATATCATGTCCATCAAGCCACCGCCATGCCACAGACAAAGATTTTTGCAACATTTTCGAGAAAAACCAGAAGTTTGAAAGAGTACGGATTCTATAGCCGGTCCGTGCATATCTAAAATCTGTTTTCGAGAATATTCTAGACGGTCAGCCACAATTCTTCGTTTGATATCTGACGAGTGCATTTTAAGTTTCAGACCATGCCGAACGTTTTACGAAGAATAACTTTTTTTCGTAATGTTAATAATAAACAAGTTACCCATTTGCTTCGAACTTAAGTGGACACACTGTATAAGCATACTAATTATTTAAAAAAATGCTTAAAACATAACGGAGATAACCGACTGTTTCGGGACTTAATACTTATCCTGTATATGAATATATTATGATACGTGATTATTTTGCATAATTAGCACATTTTTCAATAAGTTTTTGCCACTAACACTAATTTTCTGATCAGATTTTGTTTCAAAATTATTAGTTTCACCAGGAATCGTTAACCGGCCAACAACATCAAAAGCGCTAGGTAGGTACTCAACTTTGACAGCAACTGAAGGTATAATATTTTGTCAAGTACCTATTTGTTGCTTAATGTGAACCTATAACTGAAAATTGAAAACCCTACGTTGGTTTTTTTCGTTTCAGTGTTTATAAAAACTGTTTACTGAATACTGACCATGAATTTCTGAACACTGTGTAGTTAATTAGAGTTATACCAAAGAGAACCAATCTTTGGTTATACCTACCAGTGATTATTTAGTGTGTATAATAAGTGGTATAGGTCTTATTTACGTAAAAAAAGAAACACATAATAACAAATTTACTCGAAATTTTAAAATGTAGGCAGGACATTTCATTTTAAATGACTGAATTCCCGGTAAACCATTACTAACTAAATGTATTTTATTTCATACTATCTAGTAATCACTGCTTTACCAGACTGAAAATTTTTACTACACTGGAAATGTTGCCTAGCAGCATCAACCCACATCTATCTATACTCTGTTTTTTAACTAGGAAGACGGATTTAAAAGTTCCCGCAAAAAATCTTAGTTTCTATTGGCTCGCGCTGCGCCCGTTTTACACCCAGGTAAAATTACTATTGACATGATTTAACTGTCAAATTTAATCGCGATTCTCATCCTTAACTGTTGTACTTATTTTTGAGTTTTCGTGTGTTCCGAGTCCTTTTGCATAAATTTTAACAAAGTAAAACAGTTCTTTTAAGAACTAAAGTTGATATTTCGCGTCCTAAGTGTACTGGCATTGGTGATGGATTCAACTCCAAGTACCAGTAAAGCAAGCTTGTCTCCTTTGAAAAAACGTTGTCGCTTAAACTTAGGTCATTTTATCAGTCTCCCAAAAGCAGTTTATTATAAACACTTATAAACAAATGTTATCTGATACTCCGGATTTTGAATTTTGCTACGCTTGTGTTGAAGATTACATCTACCACAGGTAACGTAAATAATGATGTAGGTATATATTTGGTTATTAAAGTATGACACATACTAGGAGTTGCACGATCAACAGTATACCGGATAATTAAAGAAGATCGACGTACTGGGATTGTTACCCCTTCGAAACGTTCCGGTGGTCATAAGGCTGTTGCAAATGTGAGCTCTGACGATTGGCGGAATTGTGTGCAACACGTTATTAAGGAAGAAAATAAGATGTGTAGATTGGATGGCCTAATGGATACACTTATAGAACCATTAATTATTTCACTCGGATCGGAGGACAGTGACAGTTTTAGTGAACTTTCGGAAGACAGTGTCTAAATCGCTTATACATAAAACAGTGAACTGTGCTGTTTAATAATATGAATATAATTCCATTGCTCTGAATTTGTTCAATAACTTAACATTTGTTGTAAATTGTAATGTGGATTGTGTAGTGTTACAACAGCTGATAAAACATTTAAAACTACAATTCAAAACAATGTTTCAAAAAATGTATGCAGCATTATTACCTATTATCAATGTATTACCTATTTATTATAATTCGCTTTAAAAGTGTGATGTATGCATAATATAAAGTAGTTCCTATCAAATAATAACCCAAAAGCATAAATAATGAAATCTATCCAAATGTGAAAGAAAAACACATCACGCAACACACAATACATGTCTGTATAAAATGAGTCTATTATTTTTGTTACTAGATTCTAGTGACATTTTCAGTGTAAATCAGGTTTTTAAATCCGTCTTCCTAGTTAAAAAACAGAGTATAAACGTATGCAATGATATTTATTAAGAAATAGACATAGGGATTTACGTGCATTGTTTTTCCCTAGAGCTACTTTATCACTACCAGATCTTTATTCGTTTTGAGAAGTTATTTTGGTTGAATAAAGTCAGGCGCCCTTCAGAAGGATTTTGTGTTTTAAATAAAATTAGACATAGGGAAAAACAAAACACGTAAGTTCCTATCTCTTCCAATGGCGTTTCAAAATTGCATTTTTTTAAAATAGAACACCTCTTATTTTTTTTACTAATTTGGACAGTACTCGAAAAGTACTTATTTTTAGCGCATTTTTGCAAAAAATTTTTTTTGTAAAAAGTAGCTTTTAATCTCACTTTGGCTGGCTGGCTGGCTGGCAGCAAATGTGGGCGCGTAGAAGAACTCTTGTAGAAAGGCAACGGGTGTACGTGTATCTACAGGGCCGTGAAATTTGTCAACCTTAGGGACATGGCTACATGATGTGGGGTTGGCGACATCTGGGCGTCATCCTCGAGCGTAGTATACTAACGTGAAGGTTTTTCAGTTTTTTCCTATCTTCTACTACAGTTTTGGTCCGATTCTTTTGAAATTGGTGTCGTCGGAAAGATGTTGTAAACGCGCACAACTCCTGCGTGGCGGAATTTTGTTTTTTGTCATCGGGGCGAAATTAACGACCTTTTGCGAGGCGGCGCGCGCCTTTTGCGAGGCGGCGCGCGCGTCTTCGAGAAGTAGTCAGGCGCCTTTTACCTTCCGTTGCGAGTGAATCTCGAATCANAATGTGGTAGCCCGCGACACGATCTTCCTGATGGTGGAGTCAAATCTTCAAACCCGAATTGCGGGTGAACGGGACGTCGGAAGTGGGTACCGTAAAAGGGAATGTGGTAGCCCGCGACACGATCTCACTGATGTGGAGTCAAATCTTCAATCGCGAATTGCGGGTGAACGGGACGTCGGAAGGGGGTACCGTCAAAGGAAATGTGGTAGCCCCCGACACGATCTTCCTGATGGTGGAGTCAAATCTTCAAACGCGAATTGCGGGTGAACGGGACGTCGGAAGGGGGTACCGTCAAAGGAAATGTGGTAGCCCCCGACACGATTTTCCTGATGGTGGAGTCAAATCTTCAAACGCGAATTGCTGGTGAACGGGACGTCGGAAGGAGGTACCGTCAAAGGGAATGTGGTAGCCCCCGACACGATCTTCCTGATGGTGGAGTCAAATCTTCAAACGCGAATTGCGGGTGAACGGGACGTCGGAAGTGGGTACCGTAAAAGGGAATGTGGTAGCCCGCGACACGATCTCACTGATGGTGGAGTCAAATCTTCAATCGCGAATTGCGGGTGAACGGGACGTCGGAAGGGGGTACCGTCAAAGGAAATGTGGTAGCCCCCGACACGATCTCCTGATGGTGGAGTCAAATCTTCAAACGCGAATTGCGGGTGAACGGGACGTCGGAAGGGGGTACCGTCAAAGGGAATGTGGTAGCCCCCGACACGATCTTCCTGATGGTGGAGTCAAATCTTCAAACGCGAATTGCGGGTGAACGGGACGTCGGAAGTGGGTACCGTAAAAGGGAATGTGGTAGCCCGCGACACGATCTTCACTGATGGTGGAGTCAAATCTTTAAAAGCGAATTGCGGGTGCACGAGGAAAGTGGGAAGCGGTTAGTGAATGTAGTAGCCTTCGACAAGATCTGTTATTGATGGTTGAATCGAAAGTGGCTAATAGAATACTGATCTGCCACACAAAAATGCGCTGAAGTTCCTTCGATCTCAAACGAGGACTTTGATAATTTTTTATGTAACATATACGATTTCGCTGTTATAACGTTTTTTCGTCAAAATTTGACAGTTTTTGAAAATTTTTTTTGAGAAAAACTAAATCGCGCAGGCGGCTAATTTTTGGATTGAGGCGCAGGTTAAGACCTCCACAATCAGATAATTTTTTTTAGGTACTTTATCGAAAAAATTCTGCTTGTGCTTGGAACATTTTCGCAACGCTGATTAAAAAGCATACACTGTCGACACTATGATGTTAATTGTGAGAATTCAACATCTTTTGTTTTATCAAGTCAATTAAACATTTTATTTTTTCGATAAAGTACTTAAAAAAAATTATGTGATTGTGGAAGAGATCTAACCTATGCCTCAGTCTAAAAATTTGCCGCCTGGGCGATTTAGTTTCTCTCAAAAAAATTTCGAAGAACTGTCAAATTTTGACGAAAAAAGGTTATAACAGCGAAACCGCGGGTATAACATATTACATAAAAAAATAAGTACTTTTCAAGTACTACTGTCCATTTTCACGTAATTTTCACAAAACTGATTTCTCGTAATTTGTTTGATTGACATTAATATTTGACAACTGAATTGATCGCGATCCGAGATCTTGATTTTTGCTACACACATGTTTCCAAGGCAACAGTTGAATAATGAAAACATATTGAATAATAGATAACTTTCTCAATTAAAAACGCATCAGTATTCTACCTATTATTTAATGAGTAGAAAAAAAACGTTTTCTAACTTATGGAACAGCTTTGCCGTACTAGGTATATGAATTCAATGGTATAGGTACATATTTAAATTTTTTAATAATAATACCGTGCCATAAGCATTTTGGACCGAAGTTGGTGTTGTTTGTCGATTATGAAAAAAAGAAGGAAAACGTAAAAATTCCTCTTGAAGGTTAATGTAAAAGAAATTTATTATTTATTAATTAGTTACAAGGCGATAAATCACGTTATTTCAATACCTATAACAATAATTTAACCAAATGCGAACACAGTAGATGATCTGCTGGAGACTAATGCAATTCTCCAAACTAAGTTAGTTTTCCAAAGAAATAAGCCAAAGGGGCTGTTGACGAAGTAATGTCAGCAATTACTTCTGAACATAAACGATCTTCAATAGAATCGAATAATATTAATTGTACCGGGTGACCCAATAAGACTGTTCCTCGGCCATATCTCGAGAATCGTTCGTCGTATGACTAAGGGGTAAAAAAATTATGGGGTAAATCGGTCATGAAGAATCGCTGGAAAATATTTTTAAGTTCTAAAAATGACCACCAGATTGCGTAACTGCCATCTTAAATTATAAAGTTGCATTTTCTTTAAATTTCGCATAATAAACTAAACATTCTTTTTTCACATTTTTAAAGAGATCCAGTTTATCTATCATTTTGGTAAAAACAAAAACTCAGTTATTTCAAAAACAAAGATGATGTGGGGCGTTCAATTGTTTTCGCAATAACCTGATTTAACTTCTTAACCGTTTGACCAATTGTAACAAATTTATTATCGTTGAAAAGAGCATTCCTTGGGCAATAAGAATCAACCAAAATATAGTGAATTTAGTTGAATCCTTCTCCGCCAGAGGACTAGTTTTGACACTATGACCCAAAATCCTAAAAAAATCAAAAAATCAAATAGAATAATATGACCTTTCGTTATGAAAAAGTAGCCAAGTAACATCCAAAGAGGCCAGTGAAAACCGTTTTTCTGCAAAATCTTGTTCCTGATCTCAAATATTGGGAAAACGAGATTAATTTATTAATTAATAAAAATGATTAAATTGCATCTTAAATTTACTTTTGACGTATTTCCGATATTTGTCGATGGCGCGAAAGCTTGTTTGGAAAAGCACCCTACACTTTTAGGTATAGGCTTGGGAAATTAAACAAATGAAACAGGATGCATTATAAAATAATAACAACCGTAATTGGTAAATTATTCTGCTGTGTTTACATTCAGAAAGTGCAGTTTTTTGAATTTGTAATCTTTTCTAAAATGCCGATTTCAAACCAAGAAACATTTAATATGCTGGCGGCGATGGTTCGTGGTTGATTCGAATAACGCAAATAGAAGATGCGGGCAGCGATGGTCGCAATTCAATTTGAAAACACTCAATATGGTTGATTCTTATTGCCCAAGAAAATGCTCTTTTCAACGATACCAAATTTGTTACAATCGGTCAAACGGTTAAGAAAGTAAAGCAGGTTATTACAAAAACAATTGAACGCCCCACGATATCTTTGTTTTTGAAATAACTGAGTTTTTGTTTTTACGAAAATGATAGATAAACTGGTTCTCTTTAAAAATGTGAAAAAAGAATGTTTAGTTTATAATCCGAAATTTAAAGAAACTGCACATTTAATATTTAAGATGGCCGTTAAGCCCTCTAGTGGCCATTTTTAGAACTTGAAAATATTTTCCAGCGATTCTTCATAACCGGTTTACCCAATAATTTTAGTCATACGACGAACGGTTCCCGAGATATGACCGAGGAACGGTCTTATTGGGGCACCCTGTACACTTGGATTTTTGTATTTACATTTTGTAGTTTGTAAAGTCATTATGAATCACATTATTTGTGGACCGCTGAGATGGGTGCAAATTACCAAAGCTCGTTATACAAAAACCCAATTTTCGATCACTTTTTCTCTTAGCAACACGATTTGTGCCTGAACTACCCACGACATGCTTAGGACCCAATGAAATTGGCATGGACGATACTGGCAACATAACGAATTTGTACAAGGGTTGGGTTCGAGAACATCCTCAGGAATTAAATGACTTTCAGTCAGCGGAGTAAGTACCGGTACGTAATAAAATAGAAAGACATTGTAACTTAGATGCACTGCCCTTAAAAAATCACCACGTTTAGAAAAATATGTATTGCCTTTTGCGCAGTAGGTATTTGTCACAGGTACCAAACTGATGCTACAGTGAGATGCCCAGCTATAACCTTTATTAGTAATAAGTATAACACGCGCTTTTCGTTTAGTATGCGGCAGGTACCGTTATTGAATCAATCGGTGATAGTATGCGTGTTTATCAATACGGAAGGTTTTGTAAAAAGTGTATGTTTATGGATCAGATCAACGTAGTGTTTTCGGTTCCGTTGGCTGGATGAAGGAATCATTAGTACATACCTACCTGTATATGATAATATAAATCATCATATAGGAACAGTGTAGCTGGCATAGTTATGGAAGGCACCAAGTGAAGGACATTTCTATATTTGGGGCGCCAGTCTGTATTTAGGATATTGAAAACCAAAAAAATTCTCTAATATAGGGGATTCCATTATTGTTGTTAATTACCAGGCGATATATGACAGGCTATTTGGCAATAATCGATTAAGAAACCTACGGCGCCCGTCATTGACTGTGACGTACAATTATTTTAAAACCACAAACCAGAAAGGAAAGTGCAGAATGAACCTATTTCTTTGACACACGTATACCTACTTGCAAAATTCATTACCGCAAACCGCAAAAAAGGCAGTAGGATGTACCCTCGTAAGACTTATCGAAACAATGTAAACAGCAAAAATCATTATCATCAAGGCAGGGAAATTTGTTTTCATTAAATTATTACATATTTGTATTAGTCACTAACGATTAAAATACGACAAAGTTCGCGTTGCTGGCGATGCAAATATTTAATATGTTCTCAGTGACAGTGTTTTTGGTACAGCTTTTTCTAGCTGCTGTGTTCTGCGCAAGTAAGTACCTACACCTGATATACTAAATTTCTTATTTTGTTTTAAATTAAGCATGTTAATTATCAGGAATTTGGTCAAGAGTTTAATTGCGGTCAAACTAAATATTTTAAGAAGGCTATTACAGTCTCACGGTTAAGAACCCACAAATTATGTTTGTTCGATCAACATTAGACAGTAGTACCTATTTAGGAAAGTTTAAAAATAACACACTTGTTTAGAATTACTATCTATGTTCATTACAAATATGAGCGCATAATAGCTTTGGAATTTCCAGTCGACTATCGGCCAATCAATACTGTTGGCAACCTCTAAACTATCGCAACAGCGGGATACGTCGCAAAATGGAAACCTATCGGGTGTGCCGCCAAAAAAAGAAAAAACAATTATCATATAGGTACATTCCAACCACGGCTTAAGATTTGAATGTGAATGACTGAATGGACATCCCATATTTAATTAAAACCAGTTTATGTTTAAAGTTTTGTCAGAAGAGACAAGTTTTGGGCTCAGCTATCATATACTTAGGGGTAGGCAAAAGTTTTTTTAGCGTTTAGCTTCTTAGTAAATGATTAATGGAGAAGGGGGTTCTTACACAGATATTTAAAGGCCACACACTTCTAAAACATATGCTACATAATGCAAGAAAAATTCTTAAATAGAGCAAATATTGGAGGTCGGTTTACGCAGAATGGGCTAGCATATCGTTAAATGAAATGACAACTATGTGGGCACCGACTGCTATTAGTAACAAGTGTAGCTCACCAGCACACGGCACTCCTTTTTCTGATGCCCTGGTAAAAGGGGTTGAATTATCGATCGAGGTGAAATGTGGCTTCATCTCGGGCTTCATCCACGAAGAAAATATTTGAATGGAAATTTGTGTGTCCACGATAACGTTTTCGGATGTAATCGCAAAACTAGAGTCTAGGGCCGAAATTTACTTCTGTATTACTGCTCTTTTGAAGGTGATGGTCGGGTACAATGGTCTTGCAATACACGCCATACTGCAATGTGCTTCTTACCAGTAACTTGGGTCAAAGTTCGCGTAATTGTAAATGGATATAGAACAATTTGTTCAAGATTTGCTGTTTCTTTTTCGTGTATATGTCGTAGGCATATTGTAAAATCAGTCATTTTATAATACGCCTAGGCAGTTTATAAAACGCGGGCAGTGTACTTTCTAGAGGTAAGCGATTGGTTCCCTTCCTCTTCAAGAGCGATCCCTTACGCATCTAGAAGGGGAAGGAAAACTACCCCAACCCCACAGGTCAGCATTTCACGAAATGACTCCGCAATTTAGAAATGACGGATTTTACAAAATGCCTACGACATAAAACTGCCTAGGCGTATTATAAAATGACTGATTTTACAATATGCCTACGACATATACACTAAGAGAATATGTCATTTCATCGGCCATCCTTTATCCATACTTACATTCTTAACAACTGTTTACTTACTTATACTCTACTTACAAATTTACCTATTTAGGGATTTATTAGATCAAAGTATGGTAGCTGCAGTTATTCAACCCTGTGATGTGTCATTAACGTTAAAGTTAACGTGTAGGAAACGTTATTTTGCCCATAGTAACGCAAAGCAACGTTTTTTGACAGAAATCCTGCATGTTAAGTTTGACGTAACTTTCGTAACAAGTGGCACCACATTACTTCTCGAACTCCCGAAATCTATGGGCGGGGGTTCACGTTGGATCATCTGGAACACGACAACTTATCTAAGGCGACTCGTCACTAGACCACTCGCCACTGCGACAACCGAAAACTGGCCAACGAATGATATTTTTTCCTGTTTAATGTGTCGTACAAAGGCAATATGCAATTTGCATTTCAATGTTATTGCAAATCGTCATATCAACAACAAAACACATTCTCAGTTTTTTTTAAAATATTGCATTTCCTTTATTTATTGGTGAACAGTAAACACAATAGACAATGTATAATGATCGATGGATGGAAACCAAATTTATTCGTTTACTGTTTCGCATCGTCACCATCAACACGACCATGGAATAATTGGCAAGGCAAATTCAATACTAAGTATTTGGTATCACCGATTTTGTAATTTTCTCTCTATCGAGTGACAAAAATTCAATGTGACGTCTCACTCTTTCGATTTATTTAAAAAATAAATTTGATAATCACATCGTTGCGATTTATCGTAGAGTGTAAACTAGGCTTAATCTATGTAAAAAGAAAATTCGGGTGCAGAAGTTTACTAATTATCACACAAAGTCTGTCCTTATCTCTCGGTCTATAACAGTTAATACATTTGTACGACCTACGACACATTAATCAAGAAAAACATATTTCATTGGCGAGTTGTCGCATTGACGAGTCGTCGTATTCGCGAGTCAGTCAGTAGCGAGTGGTCACGTTGCAAGTCGGTCGTAGTCGACCGTGTTTCGGTATAACTTTTAATTGTGACGAGTAATTTCAAAACGGCAGCTCTAATTTTTTTTTTGGAGAGCACAGGGCGTGGGCAAGGATAATAAATGCTGGGATGGTATTATTATTGGGCGCCACTTCGTTTGTCGTAGAAAAAAACGAAGAAAAATATTGTAAAACAATATTGCATTTAATTGAACAATGTTACTAAGCACAAATGTGGCAAAGAAATGGTGGACTAATTCTTATTGATAATTAAATAGTAATTGATGACCCGGGTCTTTTGCAATGCAACAAATAACTAATTAACATTACGCGCTAACATTAATCGAGCGCAATAGGACAAACAATTTGAGGAAGTATAAGTTTACATAATCTCTAATTTCTATTTAAGGTCGGCACACACCCATACGTTCACAACATGCATACGAAAAACACGCAAAACATGCACATATAATTGCCTTATCTTCAGTTCATGCGGTTACTTATCTTCGGGCGGTCGCCAGGTGACCAGTGGATTGGCCCACGACGATATCAAATCTACTGCTTCGAATTTCACCAACGGAATTAATTTCGTTTAAGGACTCCAAGACCAGATAACACGGAAAATTCGATCGCCATAAAATCTCGAACACTTCTTAAAACAGCTTTTAATGCATGTATAAAAAACCCTAAAAGACGCAAGGCAATTAATCTAATAATAATGTAGTTTTAATCTTACCCCTAAGTAGAGGGTTTTAAACACTATGACCACTGCGGTCTAATTAATAATTTGTTTCTAAAGCCAAGAAAGTTTTGCAAATATTAACGTAAATAATTCAACCTTTATCGCTGAACGTCTGGCTCGTTCTGCCTCGAATTTTTAAAGATTATTTCCCTATTCAAATACGAATAACTGAAATTTAAATTGACTAGTGCCCTCTATCTGCACTATTATTAAAATGAACACGTTACATCGGATAATCCGTACATAAAATGAATGTTAGTGTGCTAGTTCAATATTTTGCATTCTTTTTATTGCGGTAACCTGACCCGTTTTATTGAACGCATATTAGCGTTTCAGATTTCAAATTACCGACATCTAATTTGTACGTTACGCACCAATGAGTTTTCTTTTTAAATACCTAAAGAACATAGGTATCTACACCGGAAATTCTGATCACTGCCATTGTCCGACCGGGAATTGCATTCGGATCTTTTTAAATTGCAAATTCGGCATTTTCGTTTTAAAAACCACCAAAAACGTACCATCCTTCTTCATACGTCTTAAGGTTCTTGAGAAAAAAGTAAGAATGGAAGGGTATTTTGGTTTTTTTTAAAAGGTAGCTTGCAAACTAAATATTTGGGACACTAGGGTTGTAAAAAATGTTTGTTCCCTACATCGTTCGATTTTTTTGCCACAACTTCCAACATGCAACGGCAAGGATTTAACCAACGACATAAGATAAAGATATAACATATTTGTCAGTTTAATAAATGTCATTGGTTCACTTCTGAAATATAGTCTTGTCGCATATCATTAAAAAAAACGGTTTGTTCGCAAAATTTTCTTCTGGTTAGGTTTGTTGTTTATTGGCAATCACTCACTCACTGAAATAAACATCGTGTGGCAGACGTTTACTAATCATTGCACAAAATCTGTCGTTATCTCTCGATCTATAACCGTTAATGCATTTGTACAGGAACAGTCAGTGGCGAGTGGTCCAGTGGCAAGTCGCCCTTGACGAGTTAACCGTGTCCCGTACGGAGCGTCACGATTGGTAACAACCTCATATACTAGCCCGGCAGCATTTAAGCATACTGTACAGTCGCTGGACGATCAGGCCAAATAATGCAATTACATTGGTCAAATGAAATAGAGGATCAACGTGCTCCGAATAAGTGTAGTTATTAATAATGTACATTATCCTTTTCCTAAATTTAAAAATGTTCCAGGATACCTACCTAATATTCGGGGGTAATACCACGAGTGCTTATGAATTATTGCATTAATGGTCAAGCGCGCGCGTTATTTATGGAGGACATTGTTTTAACAATGTACCTAATGTCATGGCAATGTTATTGTAATATAATGATTTTGTCCGTGGGATTTAGCATTGTGTCTGTTAAGGTTGACATTCAACTGAAAATTCCTAGAACATTTGCTTGTAACCTTCTCTCCAGTGGATGCCAATAGTTTCATGAAATGTCTATATTGCTTCGAATTACAATTTGGTTATCATCAGTGTCGTTAGCCAAATTTTATTTTTAAAGACGTATCACTTATTTGAAGCAAAAAACGGCTCATATTATTTTTTTTATTTGGACAAAACAATAATACAATTGAACATAATTTACACTGCTAAAACGAACACCGGATTATTGCGCGAATGCAGGCAGCTATTATCGGTTTCATTCGGATTGCTGTCGCCGCCTGTCCTTGAGTGGACCAATGAAATTGCATCATTTGGCCTGATCGTCCAGCGACTGTACAGTATGCAGCCCGGCACGCACGGTATTTGACGGCGACAGATAGCGAGACTAATAGCAGTGCCGCATTACTTTTCCAGTACTGCTGTTTGCAGATAATGTTCATGCTGGTCCATGACATACCGGGCTACTGTGCGATGGTTCATTGTATAACGTTACTTTAATTCGATTTTTTACAAAAATATTCTTTCCCCTTCTGCCAAATGTAAACTTGTTAATTCCCTTGTATTGTTCCTGTTTGACTATTGTGATGTTGTGAATGCTCCTTGTTAAAAAAATTCATACTCATCTAGGATCCAAAAAGTTCAAAACCCATGACATTATGTAAGTAATGTCAATAGGCAAGAACACATCACTCCCCATCTCAAGCAATTGAATCTCAACTGAATGGGCGATAGGGGGACTATTAATACACTATTTGTGTTTAATTCGCAAACTTATAAGATCTGGCATGCTCCCATACTAGTCCAAAATACTTTTTCTAAAAGCCTTACACGATCGTCATCTTAGAAATGCATACGAAATTCAAATACCTGCACATCGATCGCAAAGCTACAAATCCATGTTTACGTACATACATGTCTGCAATTTTGTATAATAAGCTGCCTGATGAATACAAATAATTGAATAGGTATCCATTCGGACACAAAGTAAAAGTTATGATTTACAATAAACAATTAGGCCTTTTTAGGTATAACAAGTTTCCGTTACGAAATTCTTCTATGTATCCTTCTGTACACTCCTTTTAGAGAAATGCACATACGTGGAAAAATGTTGTAAATTTTGTCAATCAATATTTAACACCTTTCTCAGTGGTAATGCGTTTAGACCATTGAATGTTGCCATTTCAATAGGTCGAAATACATCCTGCATCACACCAAATAAAGAAAATGGAAGATGTGTACCGGTAAAAAGCTGTAAGTTAATTATAAACGCCATACAGGCTGGCGACTCCGATGCAATTAAATTTGCTCAAGAGTCCCAATGCGGTTATGCGGAGGAACCGTTGGTTTGCTGTGGCACTAGGAACGTACCAGAGCGCCATATTTTGGAAGATCGTGCAAATAGTAATAGTTTAGTATATTGTTTTTTTCCGATTTCGACCAATATTTTCTTGTTATCGCCATCTTGACTGAAAAACGTTGCTGCTTTTAGGTCGAAATTCACCTTGCACAACACCACACAAAGAGAATGGAAAGTGTATTTCGGTACGCAGTTGTCCCGATATATTAGCGGCCCTTCAATCCGGTGCAGAGGGAGTTAACTTCGCACAACAGTCGCAATGTGGATACGATTCGGAGCCTTTGGTTTGCTGCGGTTCAATGGGTCCCAAATCAGTAGACATATTTGATCATAACCTATTGGCAGATCGAAAAACCTGTGGTATAGAAAGGACTGATAGCAAAATATTTGGCGGTACCAGTACTGATATCGATGAATTTCCTTGGTTGGCCTTATTACGATATGTAGACACCATCGGAAACGATGAAGGCTTTAAATGTGGGGGATCATTAATTAACGATCGCTACGTATTAAGTGCGGCACATTGCATTTCTGTTCCTGCAAACCAAGGAATAATATTGTAATTTTGCTTATGCGCGCCAAGAACGCAATCCATACCATTGTTGTATTTCAGGAGCGGTGTGCGATTAGGGGAATGGAGACAGTCAACGGAGATCGATTGCGTAGGTAACAAGGGACTAGAAAAGTGTACTGAGCCTGTTGTGGATGTTGGCATTCAAAGAAGTATACCGCACCCCAGGTACAATACCAGAACGCGAGACAACGACATCGGCTTAATTCAACTTGAACGTAGCATTATTTTCAACGGTAAAATTGTCACTGTATGACCACGTTTGATACTTTTTTTTAGATTTTATTCGCCCCGTTTGTTTACCTCCGCCAAATGGCATACTTCCTGATGTTGGGACTCTCATGGTGGTAGCGGGGTGGGGTAGAACGGAAACCGGTAAGTAAAATGAATGAGATATTACAAAACTAGTAAATGAAATCCTAAACATAGATGACAATTCTGATGTAAAACTAAAGTCGTCGGTTCCCCTGGTATCTTCATCGTCATGCGCGAAAAAGTTTGGAAGTCGTGGGTATATTTCAGATAACCAATTTTGTGCAGGAGGAGTAGCAGGAAAAGACTCGTGTCAAGGAGATTCTGGGGGTCCGTTGATGCGTTATATTATGCCGAATAGCGACGTGCAATGGATTCAAGAAGGTGTAATCTCGTGGGGAGTCATGTGCGGATTAGAAGCATATCCCGGAGTTTATACCCGGGTGTCTAAATATTCCAACTGGATTGTAGACAATATATCAAAATCTTAATTATTAACTTCCTATTTTATTGTCCAAAATATTATCATTAGTGTTTTGTAACATAATGTGGGGCTGCGATCAGACTAGGTGTAAATGTCAACGGGTAATTTTGTAATCGATACTTAATTAATATTTACGCAGCATCACAATATTTATTATTAGTGTATGAGCCTACGTGAAATTAATGTAATAACTTACACACAAAACCAATGCACCTCTTGTACTGTAAAATATTTAAATCTTTCCCTCCCCTCAAATGCGTATTATGAGAATTACACTTCTTGCTTTGGAAATAAACTATATACAGTCCAACACTTTATCCAAACTAATTCATCGAGCACTGCGAATATAAACTCCTCCCCCTCGCTATGGTAAATATACATCAACAATTTGAATTAGGTAAAACATGTTTTTTAAATTATCTAACGTAATTATAAATATGAGTTCACGCTGTACTTTCAAAGTTCTAGAATTGCAGTGAATCCGAAAATAGGCAATATGCATTCTTTCTTAATTATATGCAAGGTGATTTTCATCTATCAACCCACAATTTAGATGTTACTGTCGAGGAATCACTGTACCTACATATAAATACAGGTTGTCAACAAAAAAAATTGACAGATTTCGCAGTCCATGCAACCATCGGAGACATTGGAAATTATAACCGTATAACGCCATAATTATGTAAAACACAAATAACCCTTATTCACTCGGGATCACCTGCTCCACTCGCTCGCAAGCTCGCTCGTTACTTTCTGAATAATAAGCTTCATAACAAGCTCGTAATCCTTTTAAAGGAGATGTGCGAGAATTTTAGATGAGAATTAACAAACAATTGGGCACTATCAAGTAAGTACCGTATCCACAGTATTCGCGACTTTTCTTTAATCTACCGATTGCGGCCGAGTACGGTACAATCAACACTTGACGCGACACCACTGTCTTCTTTGCTGCTTGACGAAACTGGTCAATTCATACCCATACAAAACATAAGCATTTCCAATGCTAAAACGCTGAGACACGTTAAGTTTGTATTGAATTTGTCGGGAACGGGAACAGTCAATAAAGTGCCGTGGTAGAGTGAACATGCTCAGTAGAAATGTACAATTTAGACGGTCAATATTACTTAATCGTGATAGTAAAAATCTGTATTGCTAGGGACTGTTAATGAAGTTCCCATTTATGGGATTAGGTAACATTCCAGGAGAATACAAAATTGAACTAATTGATGATGCTAAACCATATTCAGTTAAGGCCCCTCGGAATATTTCAATTCCTCTCCGTCCTAAAGTAGCAGCAGAGTTGCAAAGAATGTTAAAGATGGGAGTAATAGAAAAAATCGAAGAGCCTACTGATTGGTGTGCACCTATTGTCCCAGTCATTAAACAAAACGGTAGTTTACGACTATGTGTAGACTATACAGATTTGAATAAGAATGTGAAAGGCCGAAAATTATATTACCAGATGTTGAATAAACCTTGGGCCAGATTGGAAGCTCTAGAATATTTTCAAAATTGGATGCGCAGTCTGGGTTTTGGCAGATAAAAATGTCACCTGATACTGCTAAATTAACAACATTTATTACACCATTTGGAAGATTCTTCTTTAAACGTCTACCTTTTGGAATAACATCAGCCCCAGAAATTTTTTCTGCTCAAATATCTAAACCCGGGAAGAGGAGATGTGACGTAAGCGACTACTAGAATTAGAATGTGTATGTAGATTGACAGATAATTTTGATTAACGTACATATTTCACACATTACATACGGTCTATTCAGTATATCTTCCGTTGCACGTCATTACCTGAAGAAAACGACGTACCAACGTAAACTTACTTTCGTTTATTAGGCAACACATTAAGCATGTAGTTTATTTTAGCCGCAACAATTGGTAGCATTTCGCTATGTTGTCGCGTTTAAATTTGTAAATTTGACAGGTTACTTTTGGTTTAGTTTTCGTTTGATTTGATTTTGATTATTTTCTACGTCTTTCGCTGTGCATTGGTTTGAAGAGAAATTACTGAAGAATTTAGATAACCCGTCAGTAATTGTGTTCGATAACGGGAAAACAGACAACATTAAAGTGTGGTTAGGTGATCATAATGTGCAGTTCTCCGAAAATGATTTTACATTACAACCGAACTGTTGAAAAGGTTGCACAGTAAGTACGTTCGCAAATTATTTGATGTTATATAAATCTTGTTGATACTTTTAGGAATAAATCAGCTAAAATGTACCGCATAAGGCATTGACCACTTAGCCGAGCAATACGGTTACTTCGTTTTACGATTACCACCCTATCATCGCGTTTTTAATCCTATCGAACATATTTGGGGCATAGCGAAAAATTACTACAATCGACACATTGGTAGAGATGGACGAAGCATTGAAAATTGCATAAACATGTGACAAAAGAATCACTACAATCGATAACTTCCGAAACGTGGCGCAATTCAGTTAAGGATACGGAAACTGTAATACACGAGTGGTACGAAAGAGAAAAGCAATTAGAAAAACGTTGCTACTATTATTATAAACTTTGAACACGAAAGCAGTTCCGATGGTTCCGATTAATTTGAATATCATCCATCACATCACATAACCTGTAAAATTTTATATTTAGTACTTTCTCTGTAAAAGAAATGCTACATTTGTACAGTTCATAAGTTATTAAAGTGATGTATATTGTGGTTCCAATTAACGAAATGAATAATAAAAATTATTTTAATTTTATTTAAGGTGTGGATTGTTCACACAAACAATGCACCGTCTTATTGACAAGTGACATAACACATAACCTAAATCGCTCAAAACTAGATTTGGCATTATTGCATAGTAATTACGTCACAGAAAATGATGACGTGCAACGGAAGTTATACGGAATAAAGTGTATTTAACTCTGTTCATCTTAATATATACACTTTTACTTAATCTACGTTCATTATTCTACACTTATGTATTATTAGCTAGGATCCTATTAGGCTTCTCAATATGGCGAACGTTCATACGCGCAGTGGCATACACACATTTAAAATTTTCATCACTTCTTATGAACGAAATCCGCCATTCACTGTCTAAAGGAAATCTGAAAAGTACATGTATTTCAAAATGTTGTTTTACACACTGTTACTGCGGCAATGGATCTGTATCACAACCTGCAAATTGAATGAAATTAAAGTATCGTGAAAGAAGACCATTTTAAGAAATATAACATGGTTACCACCGGTGCATTGTAATTTTCGTTTCTTTTGTAGCTTTTTACTTTGTTATATTACACGATTTACAGCTAACCATTATGTTTCACTTTACCGTAAGTGTGCGTTTACAATGAACGTATACGTAAATATTTCATAAACCGTAACTCGTCCATATCCGTATCGTTTCCGTAAATTTACTTCGCTGTTTACAATAAACCATTTGATGACTATGCGCAAGACTTAGGTACATATCGCTTACATATACGTACGTAAAAATTACTTTCATTGTAAACACCTTCGTATGTTTCTATACAGTTCAACTTTGCGTAATTTTTACGTTTTATGTATTTCTTACGTATACGTTCAGGTTCATTGTAAACGCACACTAAAAGTCAATCAATTGTCAAAGTCGGCCATATTGAGAAGCCTAATTGGATCCCAACAAGCGTACATTATATCATCAGATATACATGTATGTGTATATCTGTGGTTATATGTATGTAACCCTCCTTCCTAGTCTTTTATTTCAATGATTAAAGTTGAGATGCGCTTTATTGATATGAATTTAGCCTTTGTGAAATTAGACATCCAGAGAACCAGATAACGTCAGCTATCTGTAAAGTTTGCCCAAATATGTAATCAGCTAACGTAAAGTATATTAAATTGAACTGAAAGGATTAATTATTTCCTCTTGATTGTTTCTCTTGTATTTTACTTTATATTTTAATTTTCTTATTTCCTGATTTATGGAGTCCTGTTAAAGAAGTTTGTGCTGATTTAGGGTAGCTGCAAAAAGCTAACTATAGCTAGAAATGAGACCAAAATTGAGCTTTCAACTTTGGTTCTGTACACCACAGTCCACTTCAACCCTCAATAATTATTCGCGTTTCCGTGGTCAATCGGTTCTGAGTACTGGCACTTATCTGTGCGTTCGTAGTAGACCAGAAATTAAGGGCTCAGTCAACGAAAAATAAGTGGTTATGCCCCGCCACATCCGGCCTCACACTTACCGGGAAACAAAATGGTATACAAAGTCAACCAAATCTCGCCTAAAAGGTGGAGGGTCGGTGGTGATGTCGTTGCGGGCGGTTATGGACGTCGGGTTGAGCTCTAGACACGGTGCACATTGTGTGAGCTTTACTATAGAAGTAGAACAAAACCTTACTGGAATAAATTATGTAAGTTACTACAACTTTCAATTTTCTTTTAAGAATTGATAAGCCCCAAGCCTATATTCTCTCAGTGAATTGAATTAATTTATTTCTCAAAGTCATGAACAATTCGCTTTGTATTGAAGTCACGCCCAACTCGGCTTATGAGAATGATTTCTTTGAGAAATTTTATATTGAGCTATAAAAATGTTCTTTTGCTTGATTTCATATTGTTCTCAAATTAACAAAGTATGTACTTACACCCCTAAACATGATAGTTTATGTACGAGACATAATATGCAGGGCTTCCATTAATCATTGCTCCCCACACGATTGCAGGTGGTTTGGCAACTAAAAATGTCGAGTTATTAGTGAATTTCCAAAATTATTTGAATGGTGAAGTGAAGAACCAAGAAATATAATTTATTATCTATGCCAGTTTTACAAGATCAGTTCAAAAAGACTGCCATAAATTTCCCGTCATAAACCGTCATATAAATCTTCTTCAGTAGCTCGATGCACAATTTCACGATATCGCTCTCCATTTACCGTCTCACAAAAAATAGGTTGCATTATTCTTCAGAGAAATAGTTATTTGTATACCAAGGCTGCGGAATGATTGGTGTACCGAGAGAATAAGTTTTGGCCGAGGTGTAAGCCGAGGCAAAACTTCTCTCTGTATACCAAACACATTTCGCAGGCGCGGTGTACACAAGATTTTATGTGCAATCGCAATATTTATAAATAAAAATAAACCATATTTCCAATTTTCAATTTTAATTTCTAAATACCTTCTGTCAGTTGTGGCCTTCCATGGGAAAGTGTACCTAATAGTGTTACCGTGACTTTCCATTAATAAATATTACACAAAATGGTCCAATTTTACTTATACGTTATAGCTACAGGGCTATTCGATTTCGCGGCTGCTAGAGAGGCCGCGAAGTGCCCATTTCGCAGCCGATTGCACAAA